TAATGTAAACCGGGGGGGGGTGGTGTTTCCCCGCTTTTTCCCCCCCCTTTGCCCCCCCAATTTTTTTTTTTTTTTTTTTTTTTTTTTTTTTTTTTTTTAACTGCAGTGAGCCTCGATATAGCCAAACTCCGTCAAGTATGGCAATGTTTTAATGTCATATTACATTCGTCGTGTTGATGCATTTTGACGTGCTGGTTTTCTGACTTGGAACTTCTGGAGATCATGATGCAAAGAAGGATTCTTCATAAAAATCAAGAAAATTATGAACAACCCTGACCATCCTGTTCTGGCCGATCGCCGCTTACCTGCCGATTTTGGCCGATATCAATTTTTTTTTTGTCTTTTTGTTGGTCCTGAAATGTTGTTTAATATAACAAGAAAGCTGTTGAGTTGGCAACAGTGGAATCACTATTGTTAATTGTAAACTTGCAGACATAACTTGGTGGGCCGGTCTGATTCTTAGACATTTGCCAAGCTAGATAAGATCAGTGGATAAGATCGGCTTCATACCTATAAATCAGTCGATCACCGATCTCCCAAAATTAAGGAAATCGGCACTGATAAATCGGTGCACCCCTAGTTTTTATTTCTCCTCCAAATAAAACCTGAACGGAATAAAAAACATTTTTAAGTCTTTGCTAAGATACATGTAGTTAGTGGCGCAAAAAGTGGGTATGCAGCGCATGCAACGCATAGGGGCGCAGCACCAGAGGGGGCGTCAAAACCCCGTGTGGAGAGGGCGGCGCGCCGATTATGTTTTCCTATACACTTCAGCGCGCCTTACGCTCCTTCTCCTCGCGTACGTAACGAGGTAAATGTGGCAAGTTTTACCTCGGTGTTACGAGGGCGGTTTATGTTTTCGCATCCACCTGAATAATGTGTAGTTGCGCCACTGATTGTATAATTTGTACACACACACACACATCTATATATATCTATATATCTATATATATAGATATATATAGATGTGTGTGTGTGTGTAATTAAATAAATAAAATAATAATTTGTATTTTATTGCATGAAGTGTTTGATC